TCTCAAAAGGTCGAAGCTCCTGATTGAGGCTTGATTGGTACTCGTTTGAAGGATCCAAAAAGAGTCTGACCCATTTAGCTTGTGAAGCCATTTTGCAAATTAGTGACTGTCTAGTTTCAGATATCCTGAACCTCACAAGAAGTAATGTCAGTTTTAAATGCGGATGTTGATGGTGTATGTAGTGCTTTGCAAAAACGAGTAAATCCTTTGGTACGGGTAACATTGTGGGACTCATAGTTTTAGTGAAGGACCAATGTTCATTTTGACAAGTAATTCAGGAGGAATTGATAGCATTTCGATATTTATTTGTAACTAATATAATAAACTATATTTATTCAGATTTTTCTCAATCTTTCGAAATAATAAAATTGAAACTCAAAAGAGTACTTCAAACTTTTTAGGAAAGTTTTTGAAGTGTCTGCAGAAGGATGGAGACTGTCTCAGATCTTTAGACATCCTTGTAAAAGTTGGGTTTTACTCGAACTGAGAAGGTGGAATTAACCGTTGGCAGTTTCTTAGTGTGTGCGTAAAGGAATTGCATTCTAAATTATGGTTATTTATAGAAAAGCTGCTACTGTCAAACGAGGAGAACCTGGCAATTATGGTTCATCAGTGGTACGTGGTGCTCCACTTATTAAAATGTTCCCAAAATTTATGTAATTTTGGATAGCGCTATGAGGTCTTTAAAGAGCGTTCTGATTGCCATGAGGGTAATAAAATGGGGATTCATAACTTAAAGAAAGGACTTCTGTAATAAGGTGGGAAGTCAGTTATTGTGTCAAAAACAAGAGAATCTTGTCGGCAACAGAAAAGAATGATAGGTTGAAAAGTTATTTAACAGATATTCGATTTCTCACCAGATTGATTTGCAACTTATCAAAATACTTTAATAAGTCAATCTAGAAAATGGTTAGAAAAAAGTAAATTAGTTTTGTTTTACAAATAACTGCTTAGTTTAGTTGCGCTATACGAGTACAGTTTAGTCAACAAATATCTGTTTGCCAATCTGGCGATTTTAATATTTCCGAAGTGCGCATTTTTTAGCGAGCTTTGAATGGCTTCGTTTTTTGTCTTTGTAAGTTGACCAGATTTCGAGGATATTACGAGACGATTTTGTGCATAGTGCGAACTAGGAGCTATTAAAATGGTTGTTTAATGAATGAAAGACTAATAACATATCGCACTTGTTTTGTGTATGGAAACTAGGTAATTGAATTTTTTTGTAAATGATTTACATCTACAGCTGAGGGTTGCTGAGAGGGTGACTTAAGATCAGTTTATCGGTAGGAATTTTCAATCCGAGCCAATTTCTTTGACTCTTTTTACCCTTTTATTTGCTTTTAAAGTAAGGATTTATAAAGGCCTTTGCTTTGCTGTATCTTCTGTAGTTTGAAAGTTCGTAACAGAGTATTTGTTTGTTTTGAAGAATTTGATGTCATGAGTTTTAGTTTTATTAAAGATTTTTTAGAGATAAATTAAATTGCTTACAACTAATACGATGTTTTTAGTAAAAAAATTTTACTTTTCAGGCACAAAATTCAGAAATGGCTTTCTTTTTAAAATTAGCTTTCACAATTTTTGACCTGTAAGTTTTTAAAGTTTCCACAGATGCATCTTTTTTATGTAAATTTAGGGGAATATAGTGAGTTTTTGGCAAAGCTGCTGTATATTTAAGCATTTTCTTCATTGATGATGATAAAAATGAGCCTTTTTTTGGTAGGAAGTAGAAGCGAAAGCGTCTTGCTGACGAACTCGTCTTGAAGGTTAAACTACTTTTTGAGGCTTCTTTAACTTAGATCAGATGGGGCTTATTTGCAGGCAAGCGTTGAACAAAAGAAAAAACTAAATATGAGTAAAGTAAAAATCATTATTCCAGTTATTCTAAAGAAAGCTTTGATGCTTCCTGTGG